GCCCAGCGGAGACCTGGGCTTCGGGGGACCAGCCCAGGTCCCGAAAAGGTTGCCTACCCCTGATTTAGGGTCACCATAAGTCAAGAATGACTTGAAGGTACACAACAACAACAAATGGGGAACATGGAATTCCACTGGGGAGGTGAATGCAGACCCCTAACTCTTGACCCTTACCCACTCATTTCAAACAAATAAGCAAACAGTTACAAGCACTTAGAAATCTACCAGTAGATCCTGATTTATCTTTTGTCCAGTTATGCTCTAGGGCAGTGTTACTTAAAGTGGTATTCCTTGGACTGGTGCTGCCCCCCAAGCCAAGTTTCCATGAGAGAAAGAAATAATTGTACCCAATGGGCATGATATCAGTCCCCTACATCAGATAGCCTGAGAAGCACTAGTCTAGGGGATTCTGGGGACCCTCAGAAGATCCTCAAAAGGAAGATCAGTTAAGAGCAGGCACAGCCCTGATGGATGGCATTGTTATTTGTTCTTGTGTGCCTTCAAGTCATTTCAGACTTATGGTGACCCTCAGACAAATCTATCATGGGGTTTTCTTGGAAAAATTTATTCAGAGGAGGTTTGCCACTGCCTTTCCCTGAAGCTGAGAACATGTGACTTACCCAAAGTCACCTACTGGGTTTCTTGGCTGAGCAGGGAATCAACCCCTGATCCCAGTCACAGTCCAGTACTCAAACCACTACACCACACTGGCTCACTACTGCTAAAACCACTACATCTGCTGGCTGGCATGGCATCAGTTTTAAAAAGTGCCTTATGCTGACTTATCAGCATATACTAATCTAATTCACCACAAGGATTCCAGCCTAGTTTTCCTAGAGACAGTTTATCTACCTCCATCAGTACTTCTACAATGAAGAGTTTTGTCGGAGTAATTATGTCTTTAATATTTTGAGTGACAGATGACATGGAATGACATATATTCCATGGGACAACCACAGACTGCATGAGTCAAAGTTGCTGCAAGGTTGCATCATGCTATGTGGCACAGAGTGGTGACTCAGAACCCCATTCCTATATAAATGGACCAAGAGATTGGTCATAAAAGACTTGGGTTAGTTTGGAGAGTTAGAGAGATGTTTGGAGCAGGCATCCAAGTAGTTGGTTGGAAGTTGATGGAGAGGAGTGTATGTGTATATTATTATATTGTGCACATTGCAACTGAAGATAAAGCCTCCCAAACTTTGGATGAATCAACTATGTTTGTGAGTGTTTCTTTTGAATGTGAAAAGTGGTCAGTGCATTGCCAATACCAATAGCTGGGTGTTTTTGTTTTTGAACTCTGCTACAATATTGCTTTGGCTGCATCTGGGAGATTTATCTCCAAACTGTGCTGGTAGTTGGCTTCCCCCCTCACCAACAAGTTCCTCTCTCAGTTCAAGCAATGCAACGATAGTTCAAGAGTTGCGTGTTTACAACTTTTCCCAGAAATGTCTAAGGACGTTATCACACGGGGGCAAATCTGCTGGTTAATCCAC